AGTTGATTAGTTCGGTTGGTCTGGATAGAAAAAAAAGGAAAAACCTTGGCGTATTTTGACCAATTTATATCTACATACCTATGATTGTTATTTGGGGGTTATACCCATAACCTGAAGCTAATAACCCCTGGTCCTCTCACTGTGTAGTACATGTAATTCATTGACAATGTTTGATTTAAATGTAGGGGCCGCGTGGTTTGGATGGAGCGGCTGGCGATATTGGAGCACCTGTAAGTTTGACGCATACTTAACTTGTACATTAGAACAATTTAGTTTATCAGTTATGCGGTCAGTCGTGCATGCTCAAAACCTCAAGGCACAATCATTGGGGAAGACACTGTAATGAGGCACTTGAGCATACCCACTTTGTTTCCAAGAGTATCACAACAAATTCAGTCTTGTCAAGTATACGCAAACATTTATGGTAGTAGCGTTTATTTGAATGGTCGGACATAAGGCTCATCTACAAATTCAAGAGAAGAAACCAATATTTACAGCTAAATATTTTACGTTAAAGGGCTGCTCAATAACCTCTATTTAGTGATAACATACTTGATAACAAATGGACTTTGATTATGCTGTCATTGGTAAATTTCTCTCTGTAGGGATTCGCAGGCCCCCGAGGTGAGGCGGGCCCACAAGGCAAGCCCGGAATGACGGTAAGGCAGATTTTTTAACCTATCATATTATACGCTGTTACACTTGGCAATTGTTCTTACCAGTTGTGCCGCTGCGAGGCAAGTTCCTCAACGCTTTAAAAATTTTTTAGTTTAACTTCCAGAGGAAATTCCTAAGAAATTCATCGCAGCTTTGCCACAATTGTTGCAAAAAGTAGAACTCATTTTTTACTGGTAACACTTGCTGAAAAACCAAACCAAACAAGGAAAACTGTAACGGCAAAGCAAAACTTAAAAACAAAGGCAACGATGTTCCGGGAAATGTTCGAATCACCGTGTGTTGTTGTGGGTAATTTTTCTTGTAAGTTGTGAACACTAGTTGTACTGCGCATTTACTTAACCTTAAATGTACCTCTTTTCTTAGCTTCAAATTGTTGGAAATGTTCTTGCCTCTGTTGCTTTTAAAGACGGTATATAACTTCCACAGTAAACGGGGCATGCATGTTGAGTAGCATTTGTTTCGCATCAAACACTTGGCGTGTCATGTTTCTCGTGGTATACATGATACCACGATCGAATTTAGACTATTTTCAGTCTACCATTTTTAAGTATTGTACTCTCCAGCATTTGTGTAGTATGCGTTGTACTGTATGCAATCCATCTTCTTGTAACTGGATTAATCAGCATCATAGTTGACTTGCACCTTGCGTAACTTGATTGATAGGGCCCTCAAGGATTGACAGGTCCTGCCGGTAAAACTGGAGTCCAAGGAGCTGCAGTAAGTCCACTTTAAAAACCACTGTGTTTGTACTCAAAGTGCTCGTGTAGGGATTCAGCCAACATGTCCCTATTATAAGAAATACATCTCCCGATTTTAGGTCTGGAATAATGTAGGAATAATTATATGAAATAATCATAGAGAATAACTGTACAGAATAATTATAGAGAATAATAATTATTGTAGAGAATAATTATAGAGATCCGTGTCACGTTGTAGGCTAATTTGGGGACCAATATGCAGATTTAATAGCGTTATGTCATTTGTTTGGGATTAAGTAGCAACAAATTCGTAGTTTCTCTCACAGGGGATGAAATTAGTGGAAACACCTGTTTTCAGGCTAAACGCAATGATATCACTTTCCATTTGCACAACATAGGTTGTGGTTTGTAATACAGTTAAATGATAAACGTGAATAGGTTTGGAATCGTTTAAATTGAAGGAATCCTCAAAATAATAGATCCCTAATAAAGAAAAAGACGAAAATAGTTGTAATAGATAAGGATGCCAAGACTGAGAAAGATTGGACCAATTTGGCCAGTGTTGTTCCAGACGCGCGTTCCCCAGCGTAGCTCCTTGTAAGGTTGGTTTTTAAGGTTGTTTTTTTTTTCCCATGAATTTCTTGACTTTTGTTCACATTTTATTTTGTCGTTGAAAGGGACCCGAAGGACCAGCTGGAGGAACAGGACCAACTGGCGAGAAAGGAAATACGGTAAATCTTTCTTGTCACATTGCAATATCACGAGGTTAGATTTAACACCTTCCATTTTCATGTCAAATTTGACCAGTTTGAATGTAACACATTCCATTTCCCGGTCCAAAGTCCTTCGTTACGATTCTGAATGTAAGAAGGTCCATTTTCCTATCAAAATGGCCATGTCACGATTTTGGAAAAAAGTATTCCATTTTCCTGTCGAAATCCACTTATCGCAAGTTACAGCTGTGTTTGTATCAAGGAGGTTTCTAAGAGCGGTTTTCAATTGAGTGAGGAAAGGAATCAGGCAATCACTTGTTTTTAGTTTTGTTTTGGTTTTGCGATGTACTGGCTAGTCTAATTGGTAAGTAATTGGTTTGGTTTCGGTTTTACGACTCTCAATTGAAATCCCTTCTGTTAACGTAATGAAGTGGTAACCACGTGGCTTTTTTGGAATCTATTATGTGCAAATAAGATTAGCATTTGGGCGCTGGGAACTTTCGGAGTGTGCTAAATTTTAACTGCTGAAGTTACTTTCATATTGATGTATTCATTTGCTAGAATTGCCTCTTGTTTCGCCCTCCTCACCACCACATTAGTACTCGGTAGGAAAGCAGTAAGTTTTAGTTATGATTGTGACACCCGTCCACCCCATATTATGTACTGTACATGGAAGTTGGAAGCGTGTGGCGTTGGAGGTAACCAGACAAGGAGCGAGACACAAAGTAGGGTAGTTGACTCTGATGGATATCTACAACACTGACTGACACTGTCATTAATTCCCGCTCAGGAGGTTGGAGAGTTGCATCTTCTTATCATGTCAAGCTTTATTCATCATCATTTTATTATTTTTGTTTCCAGGGTCCAGAGGGTGAGGTTGGACCTGTCGGTGCTCAAGGTAGACCTGGAGCTGATGTGAGTAGACCCTCTTGATGTTATCAGTGTGGTTCATTTCCGTGAACCGAAATCGCGCTAGAAGTACCCTTTCTTCATCTGTAATGAGAAAAGAAAGGTATTTCGGCATATTTATATTGTTGGTTAAAAGGACTCAGTCAGTTGTGCTGTAGCCTTCGGTTCAGTTTAGTTTATTTCGCAGTCCCATTGGTCGTTAGCGGTTTGTTAGTGTTTGTTGTTGTGAAGAGTGAATGTTGCCGTCGCATGTTGAACATAAAAAGTGTGAGTTTGAAGTTTTATTTTTTGTTTTAGTCATGGTAGCACTTCAGGCAGGCTACAGGTGTTACAAATGGCTGAGGGAAACTAAGAATTTTAATTGATAATGATGATGATGATTACTAATTAACAACAGACTAGAATCCATATGTCTTAATATACCCTATGTGACTCTCCACAGGGGCTTCCAGGGGATGCCGGACCTGTTGGTGAGCGTGGACCAAAAGGCGAAACGGTAAATAACGCTAGCAGTATATGAAATAAATTTATAAAAAAGACGTTAACAAAGTTAGCGTTGAAAACGCAGTGAAACAGAGAATTTAAATTATAATTTTCTGGCTAAGAATCTTACGATTTTAACGGTCTTCCCCAAGTTTTTCAAATTTCTTCGGTTCAACCAGTTTTGAGCTCTGTTATAAGACTTTGGAAAAAGCAGTGTACAAGAAGCATTGCAACAGAACTGTGTAAGACATTGATCTTCTTGTCTGGATGTTCCTTATTTTGACACAGAAAATCACTCTTTAGATACCTATGCTTGGCTTTCTTATTTAATGAAACTAAATAAGTGAATCATTTTCGCCTTAGCAAGTTCAACTAAGCGGTTAACACTGACATTTTTGCAGTCACCATTACGACCTTTAGGGGATGTGTATATTGTACCCACTTCACTTACTGAAAAGTAGAAATGGTTGTCTCTCTCCAAAAACGGGTCAATGACAATGCTACTAACTTGAGAAATATTTGAAATATTCTTGCAATCAGTTATTGCAGTAAGGCAATTCTCTGACACCTTTCTAGGGAGAGGATGGGCAAGCTGGAATTCCCGGACGAGATGGTCCTTCAGGAATGAGGGTAAGAGAGAGCGCTTGCATTAAACCTGAGCACCATTTTACAAATGCTTTTTTACTAACGTGGTTTTTCTGTTTATACATCAGGGACCCTCTGGGGATCCGGGCAGTGCTGGAGCTCCTGGGCCGCCAGGGCCGATGGTAAGTTCTCTGCGCAGACTCAGGAAACACGTGCCACTTTCTTAACCAATCAGAAGTGAAACCAAACCCAATCGTGGCTCACGCGCGCACGTTTTCCCGCGCTTTTCGTCAGCTACGTGTAGTCGTTTCAAATCTTGATTGGTTCACTGGATTGTCCGTGTTCTTTGTGTTTGGCCGAAGTGACTGCTTTGGTTTTGTTTCATGATACACAATTTAAAACCGCTCTATTATTTTGTTTCAGGGTGATTCTGGCGGACGGGGACCCAGAGGCCAAAATGGACCACCTGGAGATCGAGTAGGTTGAAAATGTTATTGTTCATTGCGCACTGACATATTCACTGTTTAATCTTTGCTCCGTGAAACTCTTCACCATTATGGCCATATTTTGTATCTTGTATTTTTTGTGTCTGTACTTGAAGTATTGGCGGCAAGAGGTGGGGTATTCTAATAATCAGCATTTGTCCTCAGAAGGAGGGCTGCAATCTCCAACGTTTTGTGTTAAGTTCCTAGGCAAGACACTTTCTTCATACAGTGTATCCACCATGGGTATAATTGTTAAAAGACAGAACTGATAGGGAAATCTCGGAAAATTCTTAGAGAAACTTGGCTTGAGCAGTTGTCTCATCCAGGACAAAAAAAGCCAGTGCTTCCTGTTGCTTGAAGGTCCATCATTGTGGATCAATTGTGCTTGACTGCACATTATATTTATCAACCTCGCATTGCCTGTCCAATCAGAAGCCAGTTAAGTCTGATTTATAGAACATGCCGTCAAAGTGCACAAAACGGTTCTGGCTCACAAACTCGTCAAAAAAGATCTGGTCAAACTAGGGCAACACCATGATAACTTAATGGTAATTATATAAAACTGTAAGGTAAAAAGCTGTTACAATTATGAGTCTTAACGTTTTCGATCTGTTTGATCATAATCAGGGATCATCATCATCATCACTCTGATGATGATCAAACAGATCGAAAACGTTAGGACTCATAATTTTAACAGCTTTTTACCTTAAAGTTTCATATTTTACTTTTATCGGCGAAATGTATTTAATGGTAATTATTTTAAGTGTTTCACTTTACGTTTCATCTTTCGTTGTTACTTTTTGTCGTCTTTAGGGCAGTCCTGGAAAAGATGGCCCCCCTGGAATATCTGGTTCACCAGGAGAACAGGTTTGTAATTGTGTGCAGAACAACGATGTTGTGTGTTAAGCTTTGTAGGATACTGAAATATTTTCGAATACTCCAGGTATTCGAACCTGCGTTTGTAATTACTTTGTGCGGGTTATTAAATAGCGCAGAGAAAAGTTATAAAAATGTGAAATCAGATCAATTTGATGTATACTATTTCTATTTCGTGTCCCAGGGTCCTCCAGGGATTTCAGGAGCCAAAGGCGACCGCGGAGAGACTGGAGCGGCTGTAAGTATGCCTTATTTAATATTCCTTTTTGACTAGAAACGTAAAAACTTGCAAGTTTTTGTTGTGTGGTAGACGTACCACATGAGTACAGAACGTATCACTATATATGTGACATTGAAGAAATGTCTTCACATCAGGTTACGTTAGCATGGTACGTACAGTGGGGCTTTTCCTATCCAAAGATGAAATCTGGGCTGGATATTTATTTTCTCAGTTAATAATAGGAAAAAAACAACAATAAATACCACAACAACAACAACAACTAGAATGAGTAGTAGTATTTTCTTTTGGCAGTGCTGTGGATAGGCGACTTCCTATGTTAATCTCCCATGCTGTCATTTGTTAGATGGTTGTAAACGTCATTGATCGCGATACAGTGTCTAACTTCTAACTAAGGTTAATTGAAGGAAAGGTGTACTGCTGTTGTTTGTTTCTCTCAAGGAGCCCTTTGTTACAAGTTCCTAGTGTTAATAGTTTATTTGTTATTATCTCAGGGGCAACAGGGACCCCAGGGCGGACAGGGCCCGCAAGGCCAAACTGGATCCAAGGTAATGAGATCGTCCTTTGAAAAAATGTTTGGGTCCTCCTTCATTTTGTGGACGATTTTCTTTATTGAGAAGCCATTGCCAACTAAAACCTACAGTTTTATTATATCTTTTACCACTTCCCCTTTTAATATTGTCGTCATCTTTGTTTAAAATACGCAAAATGTCTTTCATTTCGTATAGGCCATGAACTACTAGTTACAGAATACCACCGCTTGCTTTTCAATAGGTTTTTGAGAATAATTGATTAACTCTAATTATTCTAATCTTAAATTTATTTTTACTTGCAAGTTTAATTTGATACCCTAGGATCTACTAAAGATTCTTTTTTTTTTCCGGCTCTTTCCCTTGGTTGCAGTGTAAATCGACGTTTATTAGAGAAATACGCATTGCATTTCATGAACTTAATGTTGACTATAGTTTTGATGTTCCATTAGGGACCTAGAGGGGCGAAAGGTAGCACGGGGAACAGCGGCCTTGATGGTCCAAAGGTATGTATCAGTTAAATGTAGAACTTAGTGCAAATTGAATCATAATTTTTTCTCGTTTTGATTTTAATCTCTCCTCGTAACTTATCATCATCGTTGACTACACTTGGCAAATAATGTACCTATTGTGACGATAATTCGAACTCCCAATTTTCTTTCTAATCTGGATGGTGAAATACAGTCGATAATTATTTTCCTTTGCTCGGGCGTTAATCCAATTTTTTGATTTGTTCTAGGGAGAATTTGGAGAAAAGGGACCTGCTGGTGAAGACGGACCTCCCGGAGCTCCCGTAAGACAAAATGGTCTCATTGCTAACCACTATACTACTTACACTTACCACCGGAGTTCCTGCGAGGCAAAAATGTCACATTGCTGCCCACTATACTTCTTACAACTTACCACAGGAGTTCCTGTACGACAAAATGGCCACATTGCTGCCCACTATACTACTTACAACTACAATTGTTTGGTCACATTTGGCCGCAAAATCGTCACAACTATACTACTTACAACTACTGTTTTTTTTAATTAAGCGGGAAATGCCAAATGTTTCTGCTTGGTCTCTTGTAGGGTAGAGACGGTTTACCTGGCCAGCCTGGAATAAAGGGTCAACAAGGACCAATGGTGAGAAGAAATATTTCTCATCATTCTTTTTCACTTTTCTGTTTTCTAATTCAATGAGAGCATGCATGAATGAGACAGCTTTTACAAATTTCGTAAGCAAAGCATAAGTTGGCTCCAAGCCCACTTACTATCACTGTAAATGATTTCATGTGTCTGTTTGTGTTGTTAAGGATTGCTGTATACGTTATTGAATTCTTTAACTGATTTGATTTTTTTCTCGCTCTCTCGAGGGTCTGCCCGGTCTGCCAGGTCCCCAGGGCGCTCAGGGGAGCAAAGGAGAGGCGGTATGACATTAATGCTTCTTCAATATTAAGTCTATTTTTGGAATCTAAAATGACTCCAAAACCGGTTTTAATTAACAACTTTTCAGTACTGAAAAAATGGTGCAACAAATGCGACTGTCTTATCTACGAAATGTTAGTTATTCAAGATCTCAAGCCAAGTTTGAACGTGCAAACTGACTCTATCCGCACGAAACTATTTACGTGAGATCACAAACAAATGTTTATTATACTTGTTCCACTAATTCATATTCACACCGCGATAAAACTTTCATTTTTACTTTGGTAATGATGTCAGCAACATTGAAACGTCGGACAACTCTAATGTTAATAGAAAGACATTTTAAAATGGTAGAGTCAGACCTAGGCTAAGACGTAACAGTCATAAACCGAAAGGATCGACCAATAACGGCTCTTAAGGTTGAAACGCAATTACTAACTTCATGAATATGAATTAACTAGGCTAATATCAACCGTGGAATATCTCCTTTAAGGTGCTATTGTCACCGGATCGAGTTAAAATATTTGTAATTTGTCGACGTTTGATAACCCCCTCCCCCCCCCCCCCCCTTCATTTCATCTCAGGAGGAGGAGTTAAGAGGTTTCAATCGATTTCAAATAGTTTGACCTGTGCAAGAGAGACAACGCTAATTTCAATTATGTCGGCGCCCATTTCTAAGGCATTTTGGTCAGTTTGAAAGTGCTGCAAACGGAAAATGCTGAACGTGGCTACATTACAACGTAATAGTTTAAAAATGTGTTCATGTTCGAGTATCCAAAAGACGTTATTTACGAGCATGTATTACGCGTTTTTAATTCTGTATATTCCGTTGCAGGGTTATCCCGGCATGCAAGGCGGTGCGGGTTCTCCTGGGCCTGTAGGAGCCGCGGTAAAACTCATTTTTTAATCTTTAGTTTAGTCCGGAGTTTACTTGTTTGTTTGTTTGTATGTTTGTGTTTTTAGCCAATGAGTTGGTTGGCAAACGATATGTTGCTTTTATTGGACGAATGCAGATGGCTAATCTAATTTTGGATTTGTGATTGGTTTCCCACGCGCCTGGTTGTCACGTAATTGGCGCTCAAATCACATGGGTGTCCAACGACAGCCGTCCAATCACACCTATTTGGAGCTGGTCACCTGTAGTAGTTCGCACGTGGATTCTACTGGGTTCGTTGGTGATGTTTCCCTACTGTTTGTACCCATGATGGAATAGAATGCACTACCGACTTTTTCTCTGTCTAACTGTTTTGTTCCTTCACTAGGGAGATCCTGGCCCTGCTGGTAGGGACGGTCTAGATGGAGCAGCAGGCATTCCCGTGAGTATTGAGAAAGTTTTTTGGGAAGGGAGACTAAAATAAAACAGGAAAATAATGGAGAGACTTCTATTCACAGGGTCCCCAAGGTTCAAAAGGAGCCACAGGCCCGCCGGGAACCAATGGTCAGCCGGTACGTTTATATCCAGGGTATACACCAGTTTTGATGTGGAAAATTAAAATGCTGCTGCTTGAACTGAACAAGAAAATAGCAATTCATAACTTTTCACAGTATATGTATACACTTCCCGTCATAGACGCTTGTAAACATAGCTAACAAAATTGGAAAGAGAAATTTTATACTTCACACACTATACTACTAACGCCTTCTGTAGGGATGGCAGTGACTGGGGTCGATAACACCTCTCTTTTGCACTACTTACAGCTGCAGTAATATGCGATATTTAACGTTGATAACATTATATGCGGCAATGACCAATCCATGTAAAAATAGATATAATATACGCTCTATGGGGAATCTATTCTACTCACGCATAATTCATGGGTTTCAAGAATAGGGATCGTTGCATCTTTTAGTCTAACCTATGTGTTCTGTCATGCAGCCCCGGCAATAGGTACCACGAGGTGGTATCAATAATACTCATGTCTCTGTTTAAAATCGAAGACGAAGCCGATTTTTTAAATAGTGTTATTATTGTTGTTATTGTTTTTGATCTTGTTGTTGTTATTGTTTGTGTTTTAGGGTGTCATCGGTGCCCGGGGCGCTCCAGGTTTTCGTGGTGTAAAGGGAGAAAAGGCAAGCAATAAATACAAGAGAAGATGAGGGATAAGACAGTTAATCCCACATATAAGACTTATTACAACGGTTGTCTCTATCAAGTTTATTTTTCATCACTCCCGGTTTTGGAAATCCCAGGAGTGTTTAGACATAGCCAATTCTGTGTGACGCGGATTGTACTGTCGTGGTCAGCACGAGCGACTTTACACGAGTTGTCATACTCCACGAAAACATCCACAAAATGCTTGCAGTAACATTATCTGCGGTTGAACTGGGTATCGTGTCTAAAAATAACTTGAAAGAGATTACTTTGAGAACAAGGCTTAGAACTCTCTCACCTCTCATTCTCTCTCGAGGAGTACATGTATTATTGCTGCTGGATTGGTTTTCATTCTTATTTTTGAGTTCTAGATCTTATTCTTGGTTCTAAGACTGTAGTGATTTTGTTTTAACGCGTACAGGGTAATATGGGACCTCAAGGAATTGCCGGTGTCGCTGGCGCCCCTGGACCAATGGTGAGCATTACATGAATATGATGTAGAGAACGAACTTACGCTTAGCTAAGAACAAACGTCTTTTACAATGTCAACAAAAGCATTGATCTCCCAAATTGTTCCATAAAAACGAGCTATTGCCAAAACCTGCCGGGCGTGTTGCTTTTGCTGACAATTTTGTGTTATATTTCTCTTCGTATTGTTGTTTTTGTTAAAGTAAGTGAAATCTTCCTGGCAGATCTTTTGTTTGTCTTTACTTTCTCAGATTGTTTACAGGGAAAGTTCTGAAAACACACAATGCGAAACAAGCATATAAGCTGGATGTTATCTATGTGTCTGTGCGTTTCAGGGCGCTGCTGGCCAGCAAGGATCTGTCGGAGCCAAGGGAGTTGCCGGACGAAAGGTTGGATTCAAAAAAGCGACGTAACACTTCTTCTCGTTTGTTTTCCATTTCTTGCACAATCATAAACCAGGTTAGCCTGGTGGCTAAGGAAATGAGACAAGCCGATAAATCGACTGCACGTCGATGTTACAGGCTCACTGATTGGCTGAGAAGTTCAAAAAGCAAGATTTATATGCTATATCATTGTTTTAAAATAACTTCAAAGGCAACTGAAAATACCACTGACTGATGTGACAGCTTGGATCAATCAAAGAGTTCAACCAGGAAATCCCTGAGATGGTAGAACTTTGCAGAATTTTCTATCGCAAATCTCTTCCTCAGCTACGAGGAACTTTAAACCTGGTCAGGGATCTGAAGCGTCCTCTGTTCAAATATTTCACATCGATATGTTTGTTTAGTTGCTGAACAAGACCAAAATCCAAAACTATATATTACAGGTTGGATGCCAAAATCCAGTGAAATACAACATGTGATGGAAAAACCAAATGTTGACACGTAGCAGCATTTGGGAGTACTATCTGATAGAAAAGGGGTATTAAGAAAATGTATTACTTTTGACTGGGGCAGGACAAACAAAAATTTTGTAAACTTCTGTTTTGTAGGGCGAGGCTGGAGCACAGGGACCTGACGGAGAAAGAGGCCCCACTGGAAAAGACGTAAGAACCTTTGAGTTGTATTTTTAAGGACGTTCGCGCGAAAATTTTCCAGTCGATAGATTTTCTAGTGCAATCGTTCTGTGACATACAAGAATTGGAATAAAAATAACGAGTGCTTGGAGGAAATTCTCACTTTATCTGTAATTATTGAAGCCTTATATTGTTAGATGGGTCATCAGATTCACATACTGTATTGTTGAGGGACCAATTGACCATTTCAGGGTGCACAAGGCGCACAGGGACTGCAAGGAGAAACTGGGGTCAAGGGTCATAAGGTGCGTCTGTAGAGCAGCAATTTAGAACTGACTAATGCTGGATATCATGTGCGTGTGTAACTTTTAACATCAAAAGAAACAATTCAATGTTGGCCACTGGCCTCTGCATGATGATTTGAAGAAACCAGATTATTTTAGATGGATATGTGTTATTTCCTACTCACCCATGCAACCTAAGTGTATTTCAGTGAAATAAGTGTACAGACAGACTGTATGTAGACTCATCAAACACCTACCGTAAGTAAGGTTTCAGACGGATAATAGTAATAACCTTAACTCGGTATTCATTTGTTCTTATTTTTGTTATCAGGGAAATCGTGGTCCCATGGGACCTGTTGGCGTCTCTGGATCCAAAGGACCAAAGGTTTGTCACGTGATGAATCAGTAGTGTTGTTGTGCGATACTGCGCATGTGTCAGTGTGTGCTTCTTGAGGGTCCTTGAGGGTCATTCTCGTCCCTAGAGTCCGCGATCCTTTTTGTCAGCAACAAGAATTGTGACCTCTGCCTCATTTCAGCACCCAGTCCTTTCATTTACTCGTTGATGCAATACAGTTGAACCTCGCTATTTTAAACTCTCAGGGCAAACGAAAAATAATTCGAATTAGAAAACAGTCCTAAGAAAATACGCGCGCTGATTGGTTAAAAATCGTCTTTCTGTAAGTCGATGGAAACACAGAACTAGCACGAGCTGTTGACGTAATGATGGCGCGAGCAAAGAGAATTTACATTTTGATAATCAACGTTAACAAGTTGTTCTCCTTTTTTTTCGTCGGGGTGTTTTCTAAAAGAAATAGAAAACATGTTCTCAGTGTTCTTGTCGAGTTAGAGAACCACTCGTGAAAGTTTGGGAGAACTCGAAAAAGCTGTGGAAACACTCGCCTGCGGCCCGTGTTCCCACAGCATTTCTCGTTCTCCCAAACTTGCACTCGTGTTTCTATAACTCGATAGAAACACGGTACATGTTTTCTATTTCTTAAATAGCAGATAGTAAATGACTGAAAGGTGAATCCAAGGGAAATAGTTTTGAGTTGGAAATAACGTGGAATTCGAAATAACCGAGAGCGAACTAGCGGGATCCAACTATATATTGCCTAAGGAAATCAATGACCGTCTTATGCCAATGGCGAGGGATTCAGTGTTGTGGAACGTCTGATTGTTAATTTGTTTATTATTTGTTAGGGTGATATCGGAGAAGAGGGTCCGAGAGGGTCGAGAGGACAAAAAGGCCCGAGGGTAAGTACAGCCATGGTGTAACGAGAAACGACACCAATGTCATCTCTAATAGTAAGTAACGTGAAACCCGTGTAAAGGACCTTTTCTTTTTATTTCATTTTTCGAATAGATCTCGTTTCCCTCCAAGGCTTCCTCTATTTAAAAAGCTACCTTTATAATGCAAAATAGTGCAGAGCGCAGAATAAACTTTGCCTTAGACAGACCAAAGCCTAAGTATAAAAACCATTATAATCCATCAAATATTTTCGCTCGCGCGTGATTGGTTTAAACGCGTCACGTGACTGAATGTTCCCCAGCTAGAACTGGGGAATATCCGAGTGAATTTCCACAATTTTCAAAACCGCGCGTTTTGCGAAGAAAATTTCAAGGATAATAAACACAATAGCCTGCATTTGGCGCGAAAATATGCTTGAATATTTCTTCTTGGACATTATCTGTTCCTGAAAACTCACAGTTCGCTCTTGGAAAACTGTTCGCTTCTCGGAACAGACAATGTCCGCGGACAAATCTCCGAGCATATGTCTGCGCCAAAAGTCTATGGGCTTGTTATCGGGGGGGGNGGAGGGATACTGCAGTTTAATGGGTGATATCTTTGTCTGTTGTACTGTTTATTTAGGGAGTTAAAGGCGAAGTTGGTCCCCCGGGTCCTGCCGGCGTTCAGGGAGTACAGGTACGTACTGACTATCGATTTTCCCGTAGCACTGACATTCAGATATCTATGTCTTCATATTGTCATTATGCGAGTAGAACAGTTTTACTGATTTGTCTTACTTTTTCTTTCTCTTGTTTTGTCAACAGGGGAGATCTGGCGGACCTGTAAGTGTTTTCATTATGTTCTTTATAAACACAGGGAATTTCCATTGCATGGTGTTGATAAAATATATGTTACTGAACTAGCTTGTTCCGTATTGGAAAAATATTTTTTTGCAGGTTTATGGACAGAGCCGCAGGCGAGGTCCATAAACCTGCAAAAAAAAAAAAAAAAAAAAGAAAAAAAACCTCCACCAATATTCGCCAATTCGGAGCGAACAAGCTACTTCAATAGAGTATTTATTGTAATGGTTCTTTCTTATCTGCTGATAAATTGATGGGTCCCCGCGATACCTTCTCGGTAAACGCGCGCGCGAAAGGTAACCATTTATTTACGTTTCTCACGTTGCTTTGTCAACATTTAACATTTAACTGAAACTGTCCTCCAGATATGAAGGTAAAATATTTTCTACTGAAGAAAAAAACTCTTTATTTTGTGTGATGAATTAAAAACGCAATTTGCCGATATCAGCTCGTGAGCGGTCCATCTTAGCCGTCCGTATTTCATATAATAAATGGTATTTTTGGACAACCGTTTTTTCTCCACTAAGGTTGTAGAACTATTATATGCGGGGGATATTCCCCGTGGTGTCAATGGATGTATATGACCGTGTCTTCTCTTTTTGGTATAGCTAATGTGTTACGCTCTTACCTAGATGTAAATATCGCTATTACGTTTGCGACAAAGAAATCAAACAGTCAACAGCCGCTAAATCTAAACGTACATGACTGTACTTATCTTTTATTCACTATACAAATACGTTGTTTCTTTTAGGGTTCCAAAGGACCTGGCGTAAGTATTACGCTCTTAGTCGGTATCAACCATATATTTTGTATACACCAAGTTAGTTTTTTCATGGGATACACCGCGCTTTTCTTTCATTTGGTCAGCATTCTTTTTTTCGCCGTCTTTGATCTTCCGGTAAACCGCCGTATAGTTTAGAAACATGCAATGTGGATAGCAAGAGAAGGCATCCACTCGTAATGCATTAGATCAGAGAACACACTAGTGCATCCCAAAGGCAGCTTTTTTCTATTACGGCAGTCCTTCTTCACCCCGATCCACTCTCGTAGCGTACTTTACGTTACATGTAAGACCACATAACAAAATCGTAAAAGACAAAAATATGTCACCATTCTGGAAAATACATGATTATTATCCCCTCGCGCTTGTATGGAGCGTAAGTCTGTTAAATGGCATGAACAACACTCAGGTATATGGTTTCAGTTTTCACATTAATAGTTATTATAACCTAATGAAAACTATTTTCTTGTGCTTTGTTGTTTCTCTACAGGGTGATCAAGGTATCAAGGTAAGTCACAATCTAGCAGCTTTGCAACTGTGTTACAATTATTTTATAAAGACTTCACTGCTGGCAGTCGAGGACACCACTAATGGCCTTAAAGACAAAGATTTTATATTTGACAATAAGCCCACAGTTAATTGTCAAATGTTAAGAAATCTCTTCCTGGTGGACTAGCATCCAATTTGGGAGGGGGAGAAGAAATACTCCAGTTTGCTTAATGCTACAGAAACCGAGATACGCTGCGGCTGTATGGACCAGTTGACCCGAAGCAGTCTTTTCCTTTACTTGCACTACTGCTAAACAACATGGTCTTTGGACCATTACAATCGGTTGTTCAGACATCTGGATTTAGTAATATATTTCAGATATCGAATATGCTTCTGCGTCCAGTCTTCATCAACTTGGGATTTGTAGTTTAGCTTTTAATTGTGGTGCACATAATTATACAACTTACAACTTATACAAACGTGGTGCACATATACAACTTTTGTATTCTTGTTGCTCTTTGGCGCACGTACGTTGATGTGCGTATTTACCTCAAGTAACTTCATTGTCTTTGTTTGTTTTTTAGGGAAGAGCAGGTGCACCAGTAAGTCCTGTTTTTGTTTTCTTTGTTTATTTGTTTTCTCTAGTTACATGTCAAGCGCGTGAATATAGTGTAGTACACCGAGTCATAGCCAAGAGTCGAGACGACTGGATAACTGTGGATGCTCTATGCTCCTTAGAGGAGCGAGGGGGATAGGAGACTCTGAGTCAGCGAAGCCTCCCAGAACGGGGAAGCGCTATACGTACTACCCAAGTACCTGGTGAAATAATGTAAATAATAGATCACAAGAGAGAAAAGAAAACGTTATTTCCCTGGTGGTTGGCCTTTACTGGCTTGTACGAGACTAGTTTCAACAGGCAAACCAATCCCGACACGTCAAGGTTTTTGTATGGTTAACTTGCTATGACAAGTTGGTGACGAATAATCCCTTTTGTACGCGCCCCTTTGGTGCAAAACAATTCTTTGGATGGTTAAAATTCAAAGCAATGTTGACGTTATTACTGTTATTGTTTAGTTTTTTATTTGTTTTTGTTTTTTATCACTAGGGTCCCCCAGGCCCTCCCGGCGACCCCGGAGCGGTAAGAAGTAGTTAAGGGTGGTATCGTGCATGCGCAGTCCTGTGAGTTACAAATAGACTGTTGATTCAAGTGTGAAAAATTGAACTTTCCATCTTGCACTTCCATCAATAGGTGTTAAACAGTCAGAACTGTGTCATTGCTTAGCTGCACTGTTATTAGATTCAGTTTAATTGAAAGTTGCATTTGAAAAGAGTAAGAGCATTGTCGCTATGTTTCCACCTCGACACTGTGCATCTTCTTCGTGGGAACTATCTGAAAGGAGCTCAGTCACGTTATTTTGTGTTATTTTGGCCACGTACAAAATTACCTTTAAATTGAAGGAAACCTGAAAATAATAGTTTCTTAAGATAGAAAAACAGTTAGAAGATACTAATAAATAATAAAGGAGCAGGGATGGTCAAGGATGAAGAAGATTATCACGGATTACAAACGACAAACTTGAAAAATTTTGGCTAAGCTTTCCAAGATGCGCAAGCCGTGATGTAGCTCCTTAATACTGAGTTGATGTCTTACTAAACGTTTATCTCTCTTGATTTCTTTCTTTTCAAGGTTGGCGGCCTATTTGGGGTAAGTTCCCTTTAATACGGCAATTCTTTTATAGCGGAGCTCCAGCGGCCCAAAGGGCCGCCAAGCGGAGCCCCATACTCATTTAGGAAAGAAAAGAAAACCCATGAGTTGATTTTCTCATGGTTATCATGGCTAGCGGTATTGCTCGTGGGC